GGATGGGGCAGATCTGTGGTCAGGAAGCATGACTGGTTGTAAAGTTTGCTAATGAAATAGTCATCAACAGATATCCACACATTTCTGGATGGAAGACAAAGTTGGGAGAGCTTTGAGTCTGGTGAGCCCTGAGGAAGCAGTGGCTAGCCTTGCAAAGTCCTGAAGAAAGGCTGACGGCAGTCCTGTTTAGACTTGACTGACAGGACTCCAGTCTACATACACAACCAAGAATATCAGCAGTTAGCTGAGAAACAGCTGCAACATGAGACCACAGATAGTTGTCTTGAGAGGACACTGACTCGTTCCTGTGGATCTCTCCCCCATGTTGCAGGTAGGCCTTTGGTTTGGCTAGGACAGGGAAAAGTTGTGAAAGGTATTGGAGGATGATCTCTGGAGACATGGCCACCCTTCTTAAGGAATTGAAAAGGCTCATGCCACGTGGATGTTTGTCCCCAATTGCTGGTGCCATTTGGGGAGATTTTGTGGGTTTTAATAGCTATGCCCAGGTAGAGGAAATAAGTCAGTGTATGGGATAGGTTCTTGGGGATGTGTTGTGCTGTTTCCTGTTCTTCATGAGATGAGAGCACCTACCACAGGCTCCTGCCAAGAGTGGGCCCGAGTGAATGAGCATGAAGCCATCCTCAAGCTGTGTATGTCAAGTTCTCCTCTGGGGAGATGGGCAAACAGGGTTTCTCTGTGGCTTTGGAGGCTTTCCTGGAACTACCTCTTATAGACCAGGCTGGTCTCAAACTCACAGAGATCCGCCTGCCTCTGCCTCTACCTCCCTAGTTCTGAGACTAAAGGTGTGCACCACCACCACTTGGCTTTGGGATTTCTTACAGGGGTGAGAAGCCCTCCCTAAAAGATTTTGTCCGGGTATTGAGTATCTCAGTTGAGTGTGTGGTGACAACCCTATTTTGGGTGATATCAACAGTGTGTCCCTTCCTCTCCCAGCTATGACTGTATTGTATTTTGTGGATTGTCATGGTGTTTGCTTTCTCAAAATGGGTGCTTACTGTTGTTCCTGGTGGGAAATGGCCACTACATCCATGGCCTTGAAAAAGTTGTAGAAATGTTAAACTCTTGTAACATGCTGTGTCTTACCCCTGAGCTACTCAGTATGGTCCTGAGAGCCCCCAGAATCTCATTTCAGCAACCACACTGTTCTGGTGGAGTGCCTACCCCCTCACCCCTTACCTCACTCCCTGGCAGGGTGGCCACTAGGAGACAGATCAGACTAGGAAGACAATGAAGGATTTGGGCCATTTCAGCATCTACTTGAAATGTCTCAGGCTTATTAGGAAGAAGATTGATGAGACACAAAGGAGAATGGTAGGTAGAAGATGCAGGGCCATTGAGGTGAAGCTAAAACAGACAAGGAAGAGTGAAGAATGAGCAAATTTGAGTTTGACAAATTGTTTTTGTTTTTATGGCAGTCTCTATCCCTAGCTGTCCTGGAATTCACTGTGTGGACCAGCCTGGCCTCACAGATCTACCTGCCTCTGCTTCCATTTCCTAAGTGCTGGGATTATGTGCCACCACACTCAACCCTGAGGTCTGTAATTTAGTAGGTAAGCCAGGCATGGTGGCAGAGGCAGGTGGACCTACATAAGTTCGAGGCCAGCCTGGCCTCCAAAGTGAGTTCCAGGACAGCCAGGACTGTTACATACAGAAACCCTGTCTCGAAAAAAAAAAAAAAAAAAAAAAAAGTCAATACAATTACTGTTGTATCTGAGACTTGGAAAGAAGTTGAGAATGTAGGGGACAGAATGGAAGTTTGTAAAAACCACCAAAAAGGCAGGGACCTCTTGAAATACCTCAGAACACAGAATGTCACAGGCAAACATGAATTAACCCAAAAGCTGTTAACATCTAAGAATTAACAAGAGGGCGCTGACTTCCGTGAGGGCTATGTTGTATCACATACACAAAGTCATAAAGTAAATATGTTCACAGGAGGGAAGGTGGTGAGCAAATGTACAGATAATACATCATAATACATATAATACATAATCTAGGGCAATAAGCAGAAGCAGTGATGCTTGATACAGGACCAACTTGCAGTATCTGTGGGCTTGCTTTCATGGGGAGGGTCAAAGGGATCTTGTGTCTACACCCCACACCACCCTTTTTGAGATATGATCTCACATACCTTTGCTTGATTTGGAACTTAACATATAGGTCAGGTTGGCCTCTACCTCTTTAGTGTTGAGATAACAGGTGTGTGCTACTGGTAAGACCCAATTTATGGGGTGCTTAGGATGGAACCCAGAGCTTTGCACTTTTTTTTTTTGTTTTGTTTTTTTGAAACAAGGTTTCTCTGTGTAGCTTTGTAGACCAGGCTGTCCTTGAACTCACCTGGCTTTGCACATTCGTGGCAGGTGCTCTACCAGTGGAGCTATATCCCTGGCGCCATTGTTCATAGGGATTTGTTTTTTTAAGATTAGATGCATTGTTTGTACCATTTAATTTTTTTTTTAAGATTTATTTATTTACTATGTATACAGTGTTCTGCCTGCAGGCCAGAAGAAGGAACCAGATCTCATTACAGATGCTTGTGAGCCACCATGTGGTTGTTGGGAATTGAACTCAGGACCTCTAGAAGAGTAGTCAGTGCTCTTAACTGCTGAGCCATCTCTCGAGCCCCTCATTGTTCAGGGTTTTAAAAATGCTTTTAATTGTGTGTATTTTGCGTCTGTGTAGGTATGTGCACATGAGTACAGGTGCCCTAAGAGGCTAAAGATGTCAGATCCCCTGAGTCTGGAGTTAGAGGTCATTGTAAGTCACCTGATAACGGGAACCCAACTAGGGTCTTTAGCAAGAACAGAACACTGCAGTCACCATCTAGCCAGCACTATCAGCCTCAGCAGGCTAGGCTCAAGTACTTCTGAAGAGCACTGGGAAGAGGGACAGACAAGTGGCTCAGTGACTGCATGTCTTGTCTTGGAGCACTGACATGGAGTTGTTATTATAAGGTAAGAGGTGTGTAATTAAGCAGCCCTGGCCAAGGTGTAGTTCAGCCCATAATAAACTCATTGTTGTCTTGGCCCCAGTCTAACCTATGAGGTGTCCTGATAAGTCCTTAATGTTTGATTTCATTGTTGAGAGTGGAACCTGACATCAGGGATCATTTCCCTCGCTCGCTGGTGGGTGGGCACTACAGTTTGGTTCTGCTTGTCCCTGGGACTCAAGATGGCTCAAAAGGTTAAGGACAATACTCTACCCCAGCTAAAGACAGGAAGGCAGAAGCTTAGCCCCATAAAGCTTCTGAAGTAGGTACCTGGTTGGTTTGATGCGATTCAGGTTATTGCTTTTGAAGCCAGTCATGGAGGTTGAAGCCTTACCCCGCTCTTGGAAGGCTGAGGTGGAGGCCATGGTCAAGGCCATCTTTGATTATCTAATGAAGTGGGTTGTTAGGGAAGGCACAGTGATATTTTGTCATTGATACTGCTACTGAGAGGACTGGTGGAGAGCCAGAGAAGCCTGCTCCCACTCTGCCTTTTAACACACCCTTTTCTGTGACCCCACATCTCCATCCAGCTAAACTAGAGTCCTGCAACCCAACAGCTGTCAACAGCATTCCATATCACTGGCACCCTCTTCTGCCACCTCACCTGCTTTCCTCCCTGCTTCCCCCCTTCTTTGTTACCTTATTCCTGCACTCCTGTCCCCTTGGTTTAACAGTGGACCCAAATGCAGAGACCATAGCAGCAACATCTTACCTCCAGCTACCAGGCCTCCTTTCAGACATCACAGGCTCGAGTGTCCGGGCTTCACTGCATTTTCAGAAGTGCACCATCACACCAGGGTCATGCAATGCTGGAGACTGAGGCCAAGGCCTTCTGCTTGCTAGGCAGGTACCCTGTCAGCTGAACTACATTCCCAGCCCAACCAGTCTTCTCAAACTGAAAAGATCTGCAAGAGCTCCCTCACACAGCCACCCTCACAACAAATGGTAGCCTGTACACCTCAATACTCTCCACGTTGCCTCTCAACCCAAGTGGGCATATTCCACATTAGTCTACCCGTTACCCAGGCCTCCGCTTGCTGGGACAGCTTCCCTCCCACCCCTTCTGCAATCCAAACTCTTTAGATGCCTTCAAAGACCTTCAGATACACATAAATTCTCATGTCACTCTTAGGGACTTAGACAAAAACACTATTGTGCCAACCTGACTACCCAGCTTCTTGGGTACTCTTGGTAACCTAAACCTTAAGGCTCATCTTCCAAAATCTCAGTGAACCTGACGGTCTGTCTCTGTGTCTGTCTGTGTCTCTGTCTGTCTGTCTG